ACTTTCACCAAGTACGTACACAGTTACCCAAAAAAGCCCTACTCTTTCTCTGTGTCTCTCCATATCTCTTTGTTCGTCTCTTCAATTGCTCTCCTTTTTCAGGCAGTGAGTGAATTAGCGGATCCTGATTTGGGTTGCTGTCGGAAGAACGAGGAGACATCTCTTGACTTGAAGCGTCGGGGGAATCTTTGCTTTCGTAATCGGGATTTCGATGATGCTTTGCGTTTCTACTCTAAAGCTTTACGTTTTGCTCCTCTACACGCCATTGATGGAGACAAGAGCTTGCTTGCTTCTCTGTTTCTCAATAGAGCTAACGTCCTTCATGTATCTCTCTATTTCCCCCCCAATTTCTCTTTAAATCTCTAAGCTTTTTACGTTTTGATTTCTCTCAATGACTAGTCTTGTGATGTTCGTTAAGAATCTAGGTCTTCTCGAGGAGAGCTTGCGGGACTGCCATCGCGCTCTTCGGATTGATCCTTATTATGCAAAGGTTTATTGCTTCTACTAGTCATACTCTAATTGCTTTTGCATTCCAGCTCTCACTTCTGCTGTGTCACTCTAATTTTCAGTGTACTTTGTGTCAGGCGTGGTATAGGAGAGGCAAACTTAATACCATTCTTGGGAATTATAAAGATGCATTTCGTGACATCACGGTTTCTATGTCTCTTGAGTCTTCACCAGTGGGGAGAAAGCAGCTACAGAATGAACTTAAGACTATTTCTGACTACCAGAATAAGCAAACATCGGAACACAATGAACATCATCGACGCAACTATGATGGTGCGGGTGAGATTTTCTGCTTATCATTAGAGACTCCAGGATAATTATTAGGCCATGATTTCTTCTATACTAACTTTTAGACAGGATTGTTAGATTTTGACATTTCTCTATTATTGATCTGTAGACCATCTGCCGAGTGTACAAAGTGAAGTAAAGCTACGTTGTGTGTCGACAAAAGAGAAAGGAAGGGGTATGGTATCAGAATGTGATATTGAACAAGCTTCTGTGATTCATGTCGAAGAGCCATTTAGTGTGGTATGAGCTGTGATATATCGGGTTTTTAAACAATAAGGAGGAAGCTAGTAATAAATTCTAGATGGTTTTAAATTCCAACGGGTTTTTAAACAATGAGCAGAAATGTTTTCTTCTGTTCCTGAACATGTTTTAATTGTGATGCCACTTCATATAGGTGATATCGAAAGGTTGTCGGCAAACACATTGCCACTTTTGCCTGAATGACTTGCCTGCTGATACTGTTCCATGTCCATCGTGCTCAGTACCTGTATACTGTTCGGAGGCCTGCCAAATTCAATCAGGTGGAATGCTGTCGACAAATGAGATGAACAAGCATCACATTTTTCAGAATCTACCTGATGATATTTCGGAGCATATTAAAAGCGTTACATTAGCTGAGAAATATCATTCTGAAACTGAGTGCGTTCAAGAACACCAGCATGAGTGTCGAGGAGCCAATTGGCCTGCTGTACTGCCATCTGATGCTGTTCTAGCTGGTCGAGTTATAATGAAATCAATAAACCAAGGGGAAACAGCTATGGATCTTTCCAACCTTCCAGAGATATTAGTATGTCCTTTTCTTGTAAAATTCTCTATCATTTGCAACATTCACAGAATTCTATTAAGGTGTGACTACACTTTGTTTTCTACAGGAACTTTCTCATAGCTACTCTAAGATGAATCCAGAGAGCAAGTTGGACTTGCATCTACTTTCCATAGTTCTTATCTGGTGCCTTAATAAATCTTGCTGCCCTGATCTTTTGATTTGTGAAGCTTCAGTGACTCAGGTTGTCCTTAACATTTCCCACCTTGGGTCAGCAATATCTCATCAAGTTCAAATTTGCTATGTGGAAATTGTGCAGGAACTAATAATTCGTGTTCAACGGATGCTGACAGCTTAGGTTTTAGAAGTTATGTTTTTCCCCATAGGAGACTGAGATGTTTTTGCTTATGTTCTCTTCTTAGTTAGATGAAACTTAGTTTAGCAACTGTCTTTGAGATATGACCACAGATTTTCAAATTGGTTTTTGATTTTTGCAAATATCTATCTTCATCGCCAAAAAACTTTTACATCCCGCACCAATATTCATATGGTTGACTCAATGAGTTCTTGGTATCATGAAATGATGGAGAGATATGGTTCGACACATGTTGCCTGTGTAGCAGTTAGTTTTTTTATGTTTTGGTGTTTGTTCTTTCTATCAGGACTTGCTTATCGAGGTGCTGACAACTGCTGGATTTTTCCTTTGTGTGTAGACTATCATACTGCTGTCACAAATCAAGGTGAACTCTATAGCGGTTGTCCGTATGAAATCCAGTGGTGATTCTTTCAAGTGTAACCCATCAGGAAATGTCCCAGGAATAGAGCCGATTCAGAGTTTAGAGCAGGTTTGTCTTGGCAGAGGTACTGCTTGTCAGAATGTTATTTATGTCTGCTTCCAGTTAAAGAACTCATTGGGAGCTAGGTATCACCACTTTCAGTGATGCAATTTAGAGTTACAGAAAGGACCCAAATCTAGCTGAAACCTCGATTTCTGTGTTCCCGTTATCTTTTGCACTGCTTTTCTATTAAATTTTGTTAGCATATACCGTTGGAGGTTATGACATACATTGGTCCGTGTTCACTTTCTCTTATTTTTCTGTTATTGCTGCTTTATCCGTAGATTAGAGTTGGTCAGGCTCTTTACAAAACTGGTAGTTTGTTCAATCATTCCTGCAAGCCAAACATCCATTTGTATTTCCTTTCACGTGGACTTATAATGCGAACAACAGAGTTTGTTCCCGCGGGTTGTCCCCTTGAGCTTTCATATGGTCCTGAGGTATTCCAGTGAACCTTGTCTCTATTTGCTACTTCTAGTGTGTTATTAATAAATCTGCTGTGTGTTTTGAAGTCCATACTTTTTAAAGGTCAGTATATATTACTATTCACAGGTTGGAAAATGGGATTGCAAAGATCGCATTAGGTTTCTTGAAGAGGAGTACTTCTTCCGTTGTCAGTGCCGTGGCTGTTCTCAAATTAACATATCTGACCTTGTTATCAATGGGTATTGCTGTGTCAATCCAAACTGTACTGGCGTAGTTTTGGATAGATATGTGGCCACGTGCGAGTCTGAGAAGCTAAATGATTTTTTGACTGCTCCAGAAAGCCTGGATCATCATGTTCAGGTAATATGAGATAAGCTAATCCAATCCATGAAAGATAGCTTCTTTGTGGTTCACTCAGAAAATTTTCTGCTGATTGTTTGCTTCTCGATTCCTTTTGGAATGGAGCAACGAAACGTTTCCATGGTCTTATGTTCAGTGTGGGTTTAATCGTGTTGCCTTCACAGGTGAGGGAGAAAATGCATGCTGATGTCAATGAAGTGGCTTCAAGTTTGCTTACTAAACCCAGTGGTTCTCTTCGTATAGAACCTGGGATATGTTTGAAATGTGGTTCCCACTGTGACGTGGAAAGTTCTAATGGAGAGGTGAACAAAGCTTGGAATAACCTGAGAAGGTACCTAGTTTTTTCTTAAAAGCTTCGAGCTAATTAATGTGAAGTTTCTCCTTAACACTTGGATCCCTTTGAGACTGTCAGGGTGGAAGGATTGATCAATTCAGTACAAGCCAATGTTTCTGTTTTCTCAGATTGTTTGAGGTCCATTGCAGTGCTTAGATCTTTCCTGCACATGTATAACAAAGACATTGCGGATGTGAGTCAAGTTCCTCTATTTATGCTTACGGATCCCAAAGCATTGTTGTTACTCTAGCCATGTCCTCTTAACCTTAAAAAAATTCACGACTCACATTTCGAGTTTATGGTTATTCAGGGAGAGGATAAGGTTGCTCAGGCGTGCTATTTGGCTGGAGAACTAACGGATGCAAGGAAGCATTGTGAAGCTTCCGTCAAGGTAAACTCTTAACTGTAGTGATACTGCTTTGATTTAGACCACAGAGTAGTGATTCAATGATTGACAATGAGAGTAGCGGTTGGATAAAATCCGAGAAAATGCTCGAGCAAATCAAAACAAAACCTTGAGTAATTAACCTCATAATTCTACATCTAATAATATCTAAGAAATGTAGCATCTTGTATGGGTGTGATGTGAGTTAAATTTTGGGTTTGGTGGCAGATTTTGAAGAAGCTGTATGAGGAAGAACACGTGGTTATCGGAAACGAAATGGTGAAGCTTGCATCGATTCAGCTTGCATCAGGTGATTCCAGTGGAGCCTTTGACTCTACAAAGAGATTGTCTCAGATATTCACCAAGTATTATGGTTCACATGCTGAGACTCTCTTCTCTTATCTCCCATGTCTTAAACAAGAAGAAGCTGTGAACTTGTGATCTTAACCCAACGAAGTTTGTACTTGTTACTACATAAAGATTAGGCCAAGTTTTTTCATCCAAAACCAGAAAATTCCAACTTTCTTATTTTCATTTAAACCTGCAAAAGTATTGAACACCTATCCAAGAAATTGAATATCATACGCAGGTGGGAATTTGCTACCACGAATTAGAA